TAGAAATTCCACGTCCTTGTAAAATTTTCTAACAAACCTTAACAACTCAAATGAAAACAGGACTTTTGAAGACTCAGACCCTTCAAGAGTGAAGGTTTAGGATTCCACACTAGTGAACTCTGAGATGCTGTATGAAGGCAAAGGCACAATAAATAAGTGACAGAAGGATTTATAAAAGTTCATTATGGCTTCCTGATCAACTAAGAAAATGGTTTTAGTAACTATGAGAATCTTTATATGTATTTTCTTTCTTAATTATGTATGTTTGTATGTGTGTACATGGTGAACTGATAATTGGTGGTCAACTTGTAATACCAGCTGAACTGAATCAGCATGGTGCTAAGTGTGGATGGTACACCTGAGGATTGTTGAAAAGGAGAACTTAAGAGGAAGATGTAATGTTTTTGGTTCTCCGTGGTGTTGGTTCTCCTGGAGGAACTTGTTGGACTTCTTTCCTGATATGAATTTGGCTGTTTTCATTGTCTGAGGAGCTCAGGACCTTGTTGTTACTGAGAATGGCTGCAGTTCACTCTGGGGGAGCTCTGGTCTTTACATTACTGGTTCCTGGCTCCAGAAGGGAAGATTGTGTACTGTTCCATTTCCAGAAGAAGCTTGTCACGCTGGCTTCCCAATATGAACTCAGCTGTCCTCATCATCAGAGGGGCTCAGTACCTCATTATCGCTGAGGATGGCTGTGGTATTTTTTAGGGGAGCCCTGGTCCTTACTTTGAGTGTCACTTCCTCAAAGTTCTCCAGTGCAGAAGCCTCAAACCAGTGGCACAGATCCTTATCCCACTGGCATAGACTTTCTAGCTTCTACTTCTGACCTTTGGGCCTTCCCAGAGCAGATTCATGAAACAAATTTGCATAAGACATTGTCAAAAGCTATAGGTCTTCAGCTGGACTCATGCAAGACACTGCCATGGGATCCAGGTCCTCACCTGGATGTTCTGGGGTCTTCAGTGTGTGGACAGATTTCCTACACTTTATGTGTTTGACTCTTTGGATAACAATTGTAAACTAATTCTCTAAATTATGTGTCCTGTATTAAATTGTTTTCCTTGAAAACCCTGACTACAACACTGCATAAGAATACATACAGTGCATATAAGTGACTTTATAATTTATGATTTTTGTTTTTACAAGGTTGAGGATTGAACCCATGGCCTTGTAGTACATTCTAGGCAAACACTACAAACACTATTACTGAGGCACATCTCTAGCCCTACAACTTAGTTTTTTTAAATTCTAATTTTAAAACAAAACAAAACAAAAAGACTAAAAACAATGATATAGAAATTCAAATCAACATAATAGAAGATTAACAATGGTTACTATATTGCGTGTTGTTATCTTCAAAGCAGTTGCTCAGATTACAAAATGTAAGTGTGAAACAAATGATGGGACACAAAAGCACGAAAACCATTCTTTTGGTGAACTAACAGAGATTAGTAGTATGATTATCTACCTTGTATATATATAATCTTTTTCCTTCATTCTTTTTCCTTTCCTTCATCCCAATTGTTCTTGCCCTTTCACTTTCACAAAATCTATTGTACATTTTGGGTCTTATTTACTCTTTCACAACTTAGTTTTTAGACTATAAAATATCCATAAATTTAGTTAGAAGAAAAATAATATCATCCCAAGATGGATAGAGTAACTGTCCATAGAATAGAATGGTCTCACCCATTTTTCGAGGCAGGTGAAGAAGTTCTCTCATGCTGGGTGGAAGAATGCTGTGGTTGCTATTGTTAAATAGAAATTAAATACTGAGAAAAGGAGAGATGTTGAGGATCCTGGGAGTGGATGGTGGCAGTCATCTGCCTAGCGTTCTCAGCCTTTGCTCCTTCCTCCTCTGCTCTGCTATGCATGATGGAAGGTTAATTACACCTCCCACACTCACTTTCTGGGAGCAGCAACCGCGCAGTACTGTGGTGACAATGGTGGTAGAAGTTAAAGCGTGGATCTTCAGCAGATCAATCACAGTGATAACCTCTCTAAAAGCACAGCAGCACATTTAGAGTTGGCTCCAGTCTAGCAGTGCTGGCACCTTCTGATCGCTGGGGATCAATCCTTCCTTTTCATTCTTTTTCCATTCTCCATTTTCTCTTCTAGCCTTTCTAATACTTTTGTAACTAACTACCTCTGTCTACTATTGTTGATGCTTTAGGTAGAATAAAGTTTCACTTCGTGGGATTTTCCAAAAGAGCCCTTATCTTTTTTGAAGTATGCAATGAAATGTTAATAGATGAAATTATATGAATCTGCTGATTTGCTTGTACCTGGATTCATCTGATATTTTTCTTAAGAATAATCTAGAGTAGGGTGTGATGGGGGCATAGATAAAATAGGATTGACTATTGCCTTGTAATTGTCAGGTGATAATCACTGGATGATAGGTACATGGAAGTTCACTTAACTATTAACTCTTATGTGGAAATTTGAAAATTTCCATAATAAAATACTAATTATTATCTCTTCCCACTAAGAATAAAGGAATCCCATGCACTTACAATACTGTACCTTGAGTATTTTTTGTATTCCCAATTTAAATTCTGACTTATTAATGTTTCATCCTGGAGAAAGTCTTCCCAAGAACAAGGCCAACACACACACACACACACACACACACACACACACAAAACTAAAGATGTCTGCACTTGTATGAGAGGGCAAATGAGTGTGATATGCCTATAATCCCAACAATCTGGGAAGCTGAGACAGGAGAATTGCAAGTTCAAATCCCACCACTACAATTTACTGAAAAGCTGTCTCAAATTGAAAAAAAAAAGTACTGGGCATGTGCTTCAGTGAAGAGGTCTTGGGTTCAATCCCTAGTACTTCAAAAGAAGAGGAAGAAGAAAAAGAAGAAGTAGTTGTTGCACATGTGACCAAGAAATAGAGATGGACACACAGGACTGACAATATCCTGTGTACCTATATCCAGCTCAATGAATTACTTTAGGACTTCATAACTAGTAGCTAACAAATTTTCTTTTTATTTAAGGCAGTTTGAATTGGACTTGTGTTACTTGGAAACAAAAGAACCCTAACTAAATAAATCCTGGATGTAATAATCACTACTATAATCCCAAACCCCTCAAACAACTAATGAACCACCATCTTCATGGTCACTTCTTATCATTTCTTCTATCATGGCAATGCACATCATCACCATGATTTTTACCATCACTATCTCTAAGTTAGCTAGCATTTACTGACCAGGTACTGTGTGCAAAACACTGCATCCTCATCTTCCAGTAAGAGCTGCAGATCAGAGCTCTCTGCTGTGAAGGAGCTTGTAATCTACTGTGGAGAGCTATATATAACATCCATCCCTCTACCTACTATAAAGATACGTGTTTATGAGCCATAAGATGTAACAGAATATGCTAAGTGGGAAACATTAAATTCACCTGATGTTTAGAGAAGAAAGGAAAGGGCCTGGGGGGAAAAGAAAATGCTTCTGGTGGGGGCAGCAGGAAATAAAGGCGGAGCTAGGCCCTGGAATATGTATATTCCTAAAATGATTGATGCTCATAAGTGTGGTTTCTGGTGTCAGACGAACTTGTTCAAGCAAGTCCTGGCTCTGCCACTCAAGTCCTGGCTTTGTAACTCTACAGAAGTTGTTTAATTGTCTGTGCTTTAATTTCCTCATCTAAAAAAAATAGGGATAATAACAGGACAGTAGGGTATCTACCTCATAGAGCTTTTGTGAAGGCTACAAGAATCAACATATGTGAAATGTTGAGGTAGTGTCTGGCATAAGGTAAGTACTGCATATGTGTTAGGTTCTGGCAAAAAGGAATGGCCTCAACAAAGGTGCAGAGCAGGGATGTATGTAGAGGACCACCTGGAGTAAAGAGCAGTTATCTCCACTTTAGCTAAACCTGGCCCTATCTCCATGTCTTGATAAGTACAGCGCTGGCTAAGCTATTTCCTTTTCCCTTCAATTGGCTCTAAGCAATGTAAACAGGGCTAGCTGAAGCACAGATGCCTAATCTTTGAAGCCAAGTGATAGTCCTGTTTCCTGTCTCAGTGTTTTCCTCTAAACAGGTGAGCCCAGCAGAATGGCAGAGCCACACAGCTTCAGGACTTGTCAACTGAGTTCATATGACTTCCCAGAGCAAAAAAATATTTGCACATCAGAACAGAAGCACCAGCCTTCTAAACATTAAATACTACCTCAATTGTGTTATACAGATTGGTCTTCCTGCATATCCTTCTTTCTTCATATTACAGAGTTACTTTCTGGCCTCTTAGCTAGCTCAGCTCATAATACTCATAATTCCCACCATTTTTACAGCCACTCAATCTCTAGCCACTCTTTTCTTCATGAATTAATAAAATCTGGGTTAGGACCTGGATCATGGCCTTTGTTCCATGAACCGTCATCTAGACTGGACCTAACTATAAATATGTTTTCATGTCTTTATTCTCACGATGGGTTGCACTGCAAATGGTAGATGGGAATTAACTCACCAGAATTCCAATAACGTTTCCATAGAATTACAAATATAAATTTCCCAGACCCCAACAAGGATGGGAAAAGGGTCTCTGTGTGTGTGTGTGTGTGTGTGTGTGTGTATATATATATATATATATATATATATATATATATATATATAACTTACTTTAAAACCAGAAAACAGACTTACTGAGCTGGAGCAGAGGGATCATGGAGAGGAATCATCTGGCGAGAGCAGTATCTACAACTTCAAATGACCAATCCAAGGTGGGGGAAAGCAGCTTTCCAAACATCTGGTCTTCACTTAACAGCACACAGGAAAGTGGGGGAACCTATCTGAGGCCTTTCTAGGGAGCTTCAGTAGTTGCATTCCCTGCTTTGAGCCCTCATGGCCTGCCTTTATGATAGTTTCAAAGCTGTTCTGGATTACGACCTTGAAATTGTGATCTTCTTGCCTTAATCGTTGGATACTTGTACCCAAAGGCTCCCAAGGGAACATATAGGAGAGACTTGAGGATTTATAACTTACTGTTCTGTGACAGCCAAATTGGGTGGCAGAGATGTGAGTCCATTGCCTGTGAGGAGCAGGACACGGAGGTGTGGCAGAATCCCCAGGTCAGAGATGGCCTCTGCAGTCAGGGTGTTGAAGGAGAGATCCAAGAACTACCAGGGGAAGAAAACAGATGAAAGAACGGAAGCACTATATATGACTAGGATGTTTCTCCATGAGGTAGAGACTAGCTACATTTCTCCCCGACTTTCTAGAAAGCTCTCACAGGAGAAAACTCTCTCTGGATTAACATTCAAGTCCTACTAGAGTCAGTTTCCAACCTGTTTTCCAGCCTTAGCTGCCACAGTAAATGTGGTTATCCTGTGATGCTGGCCAAACTGACTCCTCCCCATTCTTTGCCTCATTCCACGTATCATTCCCTGCTGTGCTTCACACTCAAATAGAAATGCCCTTCCACACATTCAAATCCCACTTCCCAAAGGCTACCTCAAAGCTCCTCCACCCCATACTGAGTATTGAATCCAAGGGCTTCAAAACAAGCTACACCCCCAGTCTTTTTTATTTTTTGAGATAGGTTTCACTAAGTTGCCCAGGATGGCCTTGAAGTTACCTTCTTGCCTTGGTCTCCTAAGTAGCTGCAGTTAAGGGTAAGATGTCTTCTTTCAAAACCTTTCTCAATTCCCTGGCCAGATGGAATCTCTTCCGCCCCTGCCTTTAGATGCTTTACCTAAATTGCTCTCAGGGTACTTATCAAATTCTGCCAGGTATCTGAGAAAGCTGAAACTATGTGTGAGGAGTAGGGATACTGCTATGTGGATGTGGTTTGTAAAATGTTTGGTACGCACTAGATCAGAAAACTTTTGAGGTCAAGGACCATGCTGCTGTAATACCATATCCTTATAAGCTAGTATAGGACCTAGTACAAAGTAGTTATATTAAAAAATGAGCAGAAATAAACTGGCTTATAAGAATAGTGACCCTAAATGGTCATTCCATCATTAACCATGCTCAACTGGCCACCTAGACGCATACTAGTTGACTAGGCCAGACTTCTGCAAAGACAAAGGCAGTTGGATAAATTGAATCCACACAATCTCTGTTTCTCCACTTTTGCTTTCCTGAGCCTCTCTAGTCACTCCCTTTAGTTCTTCTATATAACTGGCTTCTTTCCCTACTTCCGCTGTTTCTTCTGTGCTTCCCCTGCATTCACCACCAACACATATACTGAAGCCGGTTAAATGGGATTAGTTTCAGTGTCTGATCCAGCTGGACTTGAAGCAAGTCTTTGGGAATCTCATCCATGTCACACAGCCACTCAGACACACACACAATCTTCCTAACCCTTCTCTGCCACAGAAGGACTGGGTTTGGTCTGACTCTGCTTTAGTAATTAACCAATGGGCTCTAAAGACCCAAGGTTAAGTCATAGCTATCTGTGTGATTTGGGCTAATGACTTAACCTGGGCTTTCTCATCTAGAAAGTGAAAATAAGTGATTCTTATGTAGAAAAACCATAAGCCTGTAAAATGGTACATAGTAAATGCTTAACTAATGTTGGTTCTCATCACCATCATCACCAACCCCATGCATCAAATTTATTCCAGTCCCTGTCCTCTGGAAGCTCCTAGGCTTTTTGGAAAGGCAGATACACACATGTCTGTTAAGTAACAATGCTGCTGAGATAGATGTTTGGACACAGACCCAGTGAACACAAACGAAAGAATGGTCAGGGTTGCCAGGACAGGCTTCTCAGAGCAGGCGATGTGTGAGTTGTCCTCAGAGACAAGCAGGTATTCACCAAATTGTTAACGGAGACACTAAGGCGAGCATGAAGCAGGAGGCAGCCTTGCTTAATGCAAGAGCTGCAAAGAGTCTGGGTATGACTGAAGCCCATGGTATAACAAGCTTGATAAGACTGGAGAGGCAATGAAAGGTGCCAACCACCAAAGGACTGCCAAGTTCATGCTGCCATCAGCAAATTCAGGGTTTGAGGGTTCACACAAGGGGCAATGTGATTTGCCTAGAGCAAAGTGGGGAGGGAGGCCTGGAAGGCTGTCTCAGATATTCACAAGTAAAAAACATTTCTCTCCTTCATGCTTGTATGCGGGTAGTCATCAACATGCACAGATTTCATCTCTCTCCTTAGTATCATTCATACATCTTTCTCCCTCCAATTCCTTCTTTACAGAGCAGCCAGAATGATTTTCCTAAAATACAGTCCTAGCCATACCCCTTCTTATCTTAAAACCCTTCAATGGATCCCTGTTATTCGTAAAGTTTAAGCTACTTTCAGTTTCTCCACAATCTCTCTTCTGCCACCTTTCTAAGCTCACATCTCACTCCTTTACCATGTTCAGTCTCTGTTCCAGCCATATTCAGCTGCTTCTTCCGTGTTCAAGCTTAGTAGATGGCAAACCAAGGTCTGCAAGCCAAATCCAGCCTAAATGCCTGTTTGTATAACCCATGAGCTAAGAATGGTTTTTGCATTCAAAAAATTAGAGAAACAAGATGTGTTACATGTGGAAATTTTGTGAAATTCAAATTTTAGCATCAAAAGTGAAGTTTTATTGAAAGATAGCCATGCTCACTTTGTCTTTATATTAAATATGGCTACTTTTCCTCTATACTAGCAGAGCTACAGTTATAAGAGCTATTAGGTAATAACTATATGGACAACAAAGTTTAAAATATTTACTATCTGACCTCCTCAGAAAAAGCTTATAGACCTCTATTCTAGCTGCTTTGGTCATTTAAAATTGAGTCCAAATTTGTTTTCCATGCAAGTAAGAGCAGCTCAAAGAAATGAATAATTTTAGAATTACAGACCACAGAATTTTGGAGCTGGTCTAGTATTTAGAAGTCCCAGAGAGGGAAAGTTATTTGTCCTAGGAGGCATGGCAAAATACTGGCAGAACTAAGACTAGAAATAAAGTTTTCTGACTGCCAAAGCAGAGTTCCAGCTAAACTGTTTGCAAATCTATAAGTAGAGAGTGAAATCATGTACAATTCAGTTTTTCTACATTGATTCCTAAAGAATTCTACTCTGGACTTTTCCTCTGGGACATCCTTTCTGACAAACAAGGACAGAAGATTTCTAACCTGGCCACAATATCTGCTGAGTCACATCAAATTTTATTACACATCAGAGTATTCATTACTGTGAGCTACAAATTCAGGATATTTGACAGGTTTATCCTTTTTCTTAGGAAGCCCTTGCAAATCATAGTTGAAATGCAAAAAAATGACTGGTCCAGAGATGTCCTTTTCTCATTTATATTCTGCATCCTAACTTTGTTCTGTTCTCTTTTGTAAATAAATCCCCTTGGGTAAGCCTGAGGCTCCTGGATAAATAATCTTCATCAGATGCTATCAAACTTAAAGTAGGATATCCAAAAAATCAATCATGATCAGCTCTTAAATCTAAGCTAGTCAGCTGTAGGGTCAGGGCCTGTGGCTAAGTCCCTTCTCCATGGCCAATGGGACTTAAAATAGGGGTATGGAATACTGGTGTGGAGAAGACAAGACACTTGGCACAATGTACAGCATGAAGATTTCAGTGGTTACTGTCTTAAAAAAATAAAAGAACAAATTAACAGAAGTTCTTAAGAGGCTCTCAGGCATAAAGGTCAGGGAAATCGCTCCCTGTGTGGCTTAGGCATCTAGGACTATTTCCTACTGTCTGCATAAAATCTACTACAAAGTGTTTTTTAAACATAATGCCAAACCTCACCAGCTATCGTAAATTTACTTTATCTTAATTTTATTGGACTCTGAAGGGCTTTGCTTCTGGGACAAGTCTAAAGACCATTCCTGTCCCAAATCACTGTTTCTTCTATGTGACTCAAAATCATGGGGAGAAGTTACCATTATATCCAATATAGCATGCTTTCAGAATGCAAAGATAAAAATCTATTTTAAAAAGATGGCCATTTCAAGGTGTTAAAACTTTTTCAGAGTTGCATGTAAAGGCCATTAACTCTCTCAAAAAGAAATTTCAGTCTTATGGAAGGTTCATCTTTTTGAAAAGCCCAAATTAAGCTTGTGCAAAGAATAGCTGCCCCTTAATGTATGCAGATTAAATCATTTAAATCACCAACTCTTTGAGGTTAATCCCAAGGTTCATGATACGTGGACTCTTCAGTAAGGTGTGAACTGAAGGCCAGCATGTCGGGGAAAGTCCATCATTTAGTGAGTGCGAGAGTCTGGCTGGCTGCCCATCCTTACTCCTGATTCCACCTGTTGTCCTCTACGCTCCGCAATGCACAGTGACTCTTAGTGACACAAGCTTTATTCCTTTGTCAAAAGTGGCCATCAAAAACATCTTCATGTGAGTTGAAGAGCAGATGGAAGTATGAGGCCATGCATAAGAAATGTATGACTGTGAGAATTTAATTAAGAAGCAAAGTCTAAGGTTTGGGCGACAGTTGTGGATGTGAATATGTCAGAACTTGCTATAGAATTCATGGAAGCCCTATTTCATTCCACCCCCATCTCGGAGGCTATGGACTAGGCCCATGATGTGCTCGACCCCAGCCTCCCCAGGACTGATCCAGCTCACTCAGACCACTGTGGGTCTTGGCAACAGTCCACAATGTGTTCAGTTCAGCTGATTTAGTCTGCTGCACCTCGCTCTTAATTGCCAAGGCTTCCCACCCCTACTGGATCCAAATCTCCCCTCAAGTTCTTCCTCTTAAGATACTCTGTCTAAACTTACTTTTTTGCATAGATACTCTTGAACATAAATAATCCCTTGCATTTCTTTTCCAGAATTATGTACCATGACCATAGATACCAAGCTGCAACCACAATCACTATCACCATCATCACCCTCCACTACAGTCACCATCAGCACCCCAACCTCCACCATCACCATCACCACCACCACAGCCTCTACCCTCCCAAGGGTCAAACATGAATAGTCTGGATGCAGAGACTCAGAGTACCTTCCCAAAAGTTACACTCAGTTGGGAACCCCAAACTCATTACTTACAGGTGAACAGATGGGCACCCAAAACTCCCTGCCTCCAACTTACTTCCAATAATTTAAAGTCTCCATATTTCACGTAGACTGTTTTGATGCCATTAAATGCAAGCTCCAGCTCCTTTAAGGCTGGAAATGTATGAAATGTCTCTACACAGGGGAAGAGAAAGAAATAATCAGCAGCTCGGAAATGATTTAAGATATTCATAATGACCATTCACTGGATCCCTACAGAGTCAGGCCAGGCACTGTGGGAAGGCAGCACTCTGGGGGGTGAGGCAGGAGGATCATAAGTTTTAGTCTAGCCAGGGCAACTTAGTAAGACCCTGTCTCAAAATTTAAAAAACAGGAAAGGACTGGGGATATAGCTCAGTGTGAGGGCCCAGGGTTCAATCTCTAGTACAATCTATATATATTGTATTGTGACTTTTCCCCCCTAATATTCTGGCATGAAGATTATTCCATGTTTAAACACAGAGATGTAATATCTTAATTATGTTCTATAGTATAACCATACTTTATCCATTTCCCTATTGACAGGTCATAGACTATCTAGATAAAAGGTAACCAAATTTTCCCCTTCTGCATGAAACTGGACTTTGGGTTACTATTTTCAGACCTGTCTCCCTGGTAACTAGAAACAAGTGTTGTGACAACTGTATTACTGAATAATATTGCTTGTGGTAAAAAAAAAATCACTCAGATTAATAAACTATATCTCAGACAGGGAAAACTATAAAGAAATAATAAACACCCAAAGCGGGTGTTTCCTGACATGTGGTGACTCCTTTAATCAAATACATCCTTCCTGGGAACTCTAGGTGCTAGGCTCATAAGGTATTATTAAGGCTACTGGTTACTGTGGGTAATGAGGTTTCTAAACTAGGGCGGCTTCTGCATTTACCCAACTACAAGTCATACTGTATCTGAGATGACATCTGGGGATGGCTCAAGAGAACGGCTTGTGGGTGGCTGTGTGGGCTGCTACATAGCCGTGAGGATTCCACTGAAGAGGTGCGATACTACTGGGACACTGTGTGGAAAAGCTCTGAGCCTTGTAAGTGAACCTGGTGCCCAGTGTGGCTACGGTAGCTTCGTGAGTCAGAATGCTCCACAGAGTCTAATAAAAGACTGAATATTTCAGGACTGGGTATTTTAGGAGGTTTCCAATGAGCTTCCTTGCACAGAATGTTTCCAAAGAATAAGTTCCTAGAAGTAGAACTACTAGATTAAAGTAATGGATCTTTTATGTTTTAAAGGGCAATGCCAAAATTACTTCCAAGACATCATATATTAATTTATCATATTTCAATCAGCTGAACACAAGAGTGTCTATTTTCATACCAGTGCTGAATGTCATCACTCCTTTACGTTTTTGCCAATATTTGGTAGGCACAAAATAGTGTCTTGGAGCTGTTCTAGTGATCTGTGAGGTTAAGCATCTTTTCATAGACCTATTGGCCTTTGTGCACCAAGCCAATAATCCTGAAAGGCCACAGGACAGGCATATCATCAGATGTTTCTTCAAAAATACCCATCAAGCTCAGTTCAACAAAACTCATCAATTTCCTGCTTGACCTGCCTCAAATGTGTTATTTTAGTGAGTTTTCCCTTCATTCTTCCCTTTCCCAACAGTCTCACAGGTTGCCAAGTCCTGTGATTTCGACCTCCTGCCAAATCTCTTTTAATCTTCACTCTTCACTACCGCCCTGCTCAGGCTTCATCCCCTCCCTAGAAAACAGAAATAACTCCCAGGTAGCCTGGCTTCCATCTTCTTCTCTTACAGTCAATGCTTTGGACAGTTGCTCCTCAATCTAAAGGCCTTTCAAGGCTGTCTTTCGATGGCTCGATTACATGCAAGTCATGTAAGGCCATTGAGGATCGAGTCCCTGCCACTTGCTTTAGTCTGAATTCTCCCCCACATATATTTCTTGGAAATACCAAGCCTCTTCCTTCTCTCCAGCCAGGTACTGCTGTTCTACATCTGTTCTGTTACCCCGAAATGCCTTTTTACCTTCTACTTCTTAAGTTACCTCCAGTCTCTTTTCTTTTCTTTTCTTTCTCTTTCTTCCTTCTTTCCTTCCTTCCTTTCATAGGCCTCACTAAGTCCAAGCTAGCCTGCCTCAGCTTCCTGAATGCTGGAATTACAGGCATATGCTACCATGCCCAACCCTATTCTTTTTCTGGTGTTAGCATAGGTGTTGCTCTTCTTAGAAGTTCCTTCGGACTCTCTGGATTGTGTTGAAGTCCTAATTATATGCTTGTATAGCTTTTCCTGATTCCCTCTATTACACTTTACTCTGTCTGAGCCTGCCTCTCCCATTAAAACTGTAAAGTCACAAGAATAAGAACTGGACACACTCTTTAAGGCCAAGTTGTTATACAGTCAAAATACCAACAGGGGTCACTGTGAATTTGCTGAAAAACTAAGAAGGCATCCTGCTCCTCTAGGAGTGTTCACTCACTTAAGCATCTATCTCATCTGTGTCTACAAGGTAGCCTGCAAGGGAGGAAGAAGGGAATTGTACCTATTTACAGAGAGGAAGAGCTCACAGAGAAATGTGCCAAGTAGAACCACGGCAGGACTGCAGGTCTGAGTGCTCTCCAGCACCCAGCCTGATGCACTGTACAAGACAGACAGTCCATGGATGGCTGGACAGACAAATCTTGACACAAGCAACTGTACTGACCAAGGGCAGAAGATAGTTTTCAGGTAGAAAATGCTCACCTAGTGGCAGTAGATTTTCTGAGGCATTGATATAAATCACAGAATGAAAATGCTTGAAGTCCTTTTCCTTTGCCTATAGGAAGGCATTTCAGAAAAGAAAAAGACAAAAACAAAAACAAAACATAAGATGAGTTCCCTGATTGCAAGCCTTGCTGAAACTCCAGGGCTGCTGCCAGAAGAAATAAAAGGTCTAAAGAGGTAAGAGACATCCTTAACATGAGAGCAGCCATGTGTTGAAGGCTGGGAGGGCTTTTCTGCTTTTTTCCTATCATGAAGTAAGTTACATGTACAGAAAAGCACAGTGAATGTCATGTAAAGATCTATGTATTATTCAGCTTATAATAAATGTGTATTTTGCTTTTTGCTTGAAATTTCACCATTCACCTCCACATCTTCCTTCTCAACTTTGTGACAATTGTCTTTACCTAGTGCTCATTCCTACTCCCGTTTTTAATTTGTATTATTTATACATACACACAGGTGTGTACCCATAAACCATGTAGAGTAGTTATGTGAAATAATAAGGGGACATCATTTTGTAATCTGTCTTTTCACTCAACATTTTATTTTTGAGATTTACTTGAATTGACGTAAGTAGCTATAGTCTATCTATTGATTGCCTGGATAGTATTCCGTTGTTAGATAATATTACAAGTTATCCCTTCCCAGTTTATGCATATTTCGCTATTTTATTACAAAAATGATACAGTATAGAGTCTTGTATATGCACCCTGATTGTAAGAATTTCTCTAAAGATATACCCCATCAGGTTGTAGGCTATTCTGACAGGAACTCAAGTGTTACACGAGGAATTATATTCTACCAAAATTCTATGGCAAACTCAAAACCAAAATCATAGGGTGAGTTCGTTTAATTTGTATCAAGTGAGACAATGATGATATTAAATTTGCAACAAAAGTTTGTGTCTGAATATAGTTTCCACCCAGTGACTGCTTGTCGGACCTTCCCTCTTTCCTTCCGCGTGGTACTGTTTCCCATCCTCAAGAACTCTGCAGGTACAAACACCATAACAGCCAGGTCTGGTACCCCAATCACATATTTGCTGCTGTTCTCACCTTGGAGAACTTCAGGCCACTCACGTTGATCCTGCACAGGTCTGACGGCTTCCTCACGCAGTGGTGCTTTAGCTGGACACAGGACACGGAGTCAGCACTCAACACTCCAACAAAATGTAATTAATTAAGCTATTTTTGTTCAGTGGTATTACATTGGTCAATATTGCTTATTAATTCATTAATTCATTAATCATTTACCCATTTATTCATGAAATAGTTACTAAGCACTACCTTGTACCATGTGGTATGCTAAACATATTAACAAAACTTTTTCTAAATCCTATCTAACACCTTGGGTATAAGGACATCTCTCTTTTTTGTTTTAATGAGAAAATGTTAAGAGAGTTAAGCGTGCCTTGCCTGAAGTCCCACGACTACTAACTGCCAGATCTATGATGTGAATCCAAACCTTCAATCACTAAACTCTATGCTCTTTTGCATGCTGTATGTCAGTCTACATAATTAAAAAGTTAGAAGCAAATTCCATTTTCAAAACTTCTATTTATGTTTAATAAACCACATTTCTTTTGCGAAGACAATGGAGAAAGAGAAGGAACATCTCAGGCTTCATAAAGCTTACAATCTCAGGGGATGCCAAATGGCAAGCAAACATTTATAAATGTAATAAATATTTTAGGAGAAATTCAAGATATTGTGAAAAACAGCAATGAGAGGTCCTAACTTCAATCTGAAAATAAGGAAGTATTTACTTGAGAAAGTAGTTTTTTCAGCTGAGAACTAACAGCTGAGTAGGAGTTGGTCCCATGAAAGTAGGTGGCAGGGGTGTAAAGGCTGCCAGGGCAAGAAAAACCAAGGGGCTTTGGAGAGGTTAACAAACAAGATGAGGTCAAAAAGGTGGTCTTTAGGTATGTGGGTCCATGTGGGCACTGTAAGGAGTATGGATTTTATCCCACAATTAGTAGAAAGATGTCAGGGATTTTTTTGGCAAGGAAGGATAGTAGTTTTATAAAAATTGCAAATTCTGATAATAGAAAAGATCAATGTAGCAGATGTTAATCACCTTCTCAATTTCTCCATTTCTTTCATGTTAAAGCACTAACGTTGTTCACATTTCCCCATGGACAGATTTTTAAGTCCCAGCTCTAAGAGATAAATCTTGATCTGTTTAGGCCAATGGTAGAGGTCTCATGAGTGGCCAATGATTTTTGGACTTGTAATATAGGTCTGGCCAATGAGATATGTACTGAGTTTTGAGGACAGGGATGGGTGATCAGTTTGGGGAAGGTTTTTCTTTATCTAAAAATAGGCATGAGACTATCACAGTCGTTTTTCTACTCCTGGCTGTTATCCTACATGAAAACCTGCTTTGCTGTAGCCACCTTGGGATCATGGAATCAATCAAGCTAAGAAGATATAGCAATATACTAAGGATGGTAGGACAGAATAATGGAAGAAACGTGAGCCTTGGTAGATGTTATGAAGCCAGTATAATAACCAATCTTTTAACGCCTCTGCCTTTTTTGTGTGTGATATAGAAGCAAGCTAACTGGCTTAAACTAGTTAGAAAGTTACTAGGATAGTCCAGTAAGAAATGATGTGGCCAAGTTAAAGACGGTGGTGCTACAAATGGCTAAGGAGTGCTAGAGAAAAAGACGGATCTGACAACTATCTAACAAAAGTGCCAGATTTGGTAAAGTTAGGGTGAGGGCAGTGAGGGAGAGGCAGGTATAAAAGATAACCGCAAGTTATTGGCTTGGTGACTGGCTAGGTAAAAATGTTAACACAGAAAGTATAATAAAACCTAGGAAAAGGATGTGGAGTTGGAAGATTGGTGCTGAGTACAGTATGAGGTATCGGCGAAATATTCAAGTGAAACTACGTAATGGACAGAGTGGATATTCTATCACTCTGAGCAACAACCTTGCTGCTTCTGTCACTTAAAGTGTCAACAAGCTTTAGGGATTAAACATGGGAATGTATAGCAGTATCTGCTGGATAATGGTTCTGGGATCTATCTCAGATACCAAAATATTCAAATACTGAAGTCTCTTAGATAAAATGGCATCGTATTGATGTAGGAGATTCAAGCAATGGCAGGCTGGCTAAAAGACAGCATGGAAGCTGTCAATTATGAAGATCTGGAAAGGAGGCTGAGAACATGATGTACCTATGTAACCTGATCTGGAACAGATGCGACCTGTCAGCTATGGCCAGGATGTGTGCACAGAGCAACTTCCAATGGACCGGATCTAGGAGGATATACAAAGACAGCGCTCCTTAACCCTGCTGCCACTGCAATCTTGCTGTTCTGCTCTACTTATTTCGATAGCGGCCCATCCTGCCATTGCAGAATGTATCTCTTCTTGTTCTTCCCTTTCCTTTCACTCTTTCCTTATCTTTTCCCTCTTCTTTTTGATGTTAAATACAAGTTGTGTTTAACTGTTCACCAGCCATCCTAGCCAATTCTTTGGGCAGAACAGAGAGAGTCAAGAATCTTTCGATGCCACGCCGTCCAAAACCAGTATTTCCATAAAAATCTATGTTCAGGGCTGGGGATTTAGCTCAGCGGGATAAGCACCTGCCTGGTAAGCGTGAGGTCGTGAGTTCAATCCCGGAACCAAAAAAAAAATCTGTGTTCATTTTCCTGTACACTTATAATACCTAAGACAATGTAAATAATATGTAAATAGTTGTTATTCTTTATTGTTTAGGGAATAATGATAAGAAAAAGAGTCTGCGCTTGTCCAGTGCAACCTTTTACTTTTATATTTTCAGTCTGTGGTTATTTGAATCTGTGGATGCAGAGCATATGGATATGCAGAGGCAACTGTATTCAGAAACAAACGAGGAAAAGACTACTCTGAAAAATATTTCTGCCCTTAGTGTTGTTTCAGTTCTTCCTCTAAGTGAGAAGTGGATATAATAATGAAACAAATTCCACAGGTTCTACAAACAGCTAATACTATGCTCCTGAAGTGAGATGAAACCAAGCAAGTTCTCTTTCAACCTCTGAGCTCTGCTGATACCCATCTCTTGGGAACCATAAACAGAAACTGGCAACAAAGTAGAAGGCCAGAGCACTCTTCTCAAGGAGCTAAAGACCTGGACTGCCCATTAATATTGATTTACAAAATACGTCTTCTTTGCAAAGCCACTCAGGTATACAGAGTCGATGTGAAATTACCTAGTTGATTTCCAACATGGTCAACCCAGCTCTCTTCATAAAGCCTGCCCTAAGTCCTGGGTGACATCTAGCCAGCTCCTCTGGCTTTTAGCCAGACATTAAAGGCAAAGGACAAAGGCTATAGGAGAAAAGACCCTTCCCAATCCTGTCTGGAAATACCACCTCAGAGCAGAGTGGGAATTACCCTATCTGATTAGGCACTGGAATGAAATTTTCAGTTGACTCTTTCGCCTTGAATTACTTTTTTGCTTCTCCAGTTCAAGCAAGATTTTTTATTTCATGTAATGTAAAGATACAGACATTCAATGGAATAAACTACAGATCTTATCCTGTCATAGCCATTTGTAGACTGTGGGACTTCAGCCAAGGAAACAGCCTCTGGGGGCCTCAGCTTTCCCGCCCACCCAAAAGCAACAATATAATAGGAATATCAATATCACATTGATCACAAGGTAGACTTAGAGAAGGCTATGTATGTACACAGTTTTGGGTTCCTTCATGATCTAGGCTGTGCTCAATTTGCTAACCAACATCACTCATAGTTTGGAATGGGGTGGGGGTAACTGTACAGAGCAGGTAACTCCTTGCCCCAGACGGAACAAAAACAGGTGAAAAAAGGGAAAATCCTCGCCATTCACTCCCTCTGCCAGCTGACCCTGCCAACTCCAGGACACATTTTCTCTCACCAGAAAAGCACGGTCCAGGATGTGTCCGGGAATGTCTGTTTGGCTTTTCTGCTGGGATAGTTTCTTCTTCCCAACTTCAAAATGAACCTTCTTCTGGCTTTCTTGACTTTTGGAAGGTGCTGCAATACCCTGGAGCTTCTTCTTGAGGTTACCTTTCCGAGACACTAACCAATGCCCTCTCCCTGTTGAGATGATCAAAGCAATGAGAACGGATAATCTCCAAGGCTTGGAGTTGTTGAAAGTAGTTAGCGGGATGGAGATTGAAAACCATAGAGCCTGAGCAGAAGGAAAAGCATAAGAAATACCCAGAAATAGGAAAGGTTAGGATCCCATAGAAAGATACAGCTGCAGGCACCAGACCCCCACTGGGTCTCTTCCTGAGCAGCCTCACCTGTCTCCGGAGCTTGCCCAGTTTATCTGACCACTGCTGCTCATCCTGCCTCTTAGATGCAGTTCTTGCCCTATGCATTAGGTGACCCCTTGCCCACTCCAGCCCTGGGCCTGGCAGTCTAGGCACATCATTTCCCAAGGCTGACCCCCACTAGGACATGGGATTTGGTTCTTCTTCATCTTATGCTCATATCCTTGACTCTTGGAGACACCAGCCTAAATTAATGCCAAAACCCCCAACATTGCCAGGAGGGAAGGGCCAAAAGGTCAGGAGATAACATGAGACTCTGAAGGTCAAGATGGGCAGGTCAGCTCAGATAAACCATGAAAAGTCCTGAAAACCCACAACAGTTGTGATGAAATAGGCTTTTAGGAAGAAGAGTAACCAGGAGGATGGTTTTCTTGGTGGCTTTTCCATAATTTTCATTTTGAGATAATTTTAGACTTTCAGAGAAATTGCAAAAAATAGTAGAGTGAGCTCCCACACTGCCTTCACCCAGCTTCCTTAATGCTCACATCTTATATTGATAGAATTTTCAGTGCGGAAGGGAACCATCTGATAGGATTTTGGCGCGGCTGAAAAGATAAGAACTATGAAATAAAAGAGACCTTTATCTTAAGAATGTGGGGAGAGACCCCCTGACCCTCCGGGGTCTGGCATTCTCTCCGCCAGACACGTGGTGTGGGGGGCATACATGTAGCTTAGGTTTGGGGTGGTGCCTAAGGGGCATTAGCGATGCACAGGTAGCCCACTGGTATTCATTTAGCGCCACAGATGAATTGCCTAGGGGCAGGAAAGATGACCTCAAAATAGGGAGCCCCTTGGTTCCGCCTCCAAGGCTTTACCTGCTACAGTGTCCCATCTGGGGCAAAAACCTTTCAATATAACACAATTACTGAAACCAAGTAATTAACTGAGTCATTAATCTCAGCTCTTCTTTGAATTTTGCCAGTCTCCTCACTAACGTCCTTCTGTTCCAGGATTTAACCCAAGACCTTACATTATGTTTAGTTGTCATAGCTCCTCAGTCTTTCCTTTCCTTTCCTTGTGTAGCTTCAACACTTACAGAGTTTGGGCAAAATGTGCTTTGAATTCAACTTGTTCGATGCTTTCCCATGGTCAGATTAGGGCTCTGCAATTGGCAAAGCTGTGCCTTTCCCAGCACATCATTCCAAGGAATTCATGAGATCATTATACCTTATTTCTGGTAATGCTACTTTTGATCACTCGATTGAAATGGTGTGTGTCTGGTTTCTCTACTAAGAAGTTAGTATTTTTCCCTTTGTAATTAATAAATATACTTTGAGGCTACTCAAATGTCCTTTTCTTCATCAAAATTTCACCCACTCACTCATGGTTACGTATCAACTTTGCTAGGCTATATGTGGTTATTCAGTCAAACACTAGTTGCTGTAATGGTATTTTGTAGGTCACTAATATCTACAATCAGCTGATATGAAGTAAAAGACTATCTTTGATAATGAGAATGAACCACATTTGAACCATTTGTTTAAAGACCTTAGGGAGCAAAACCTAAGGTTTCCTGGGGGAAAAGAGAGCTTGCCTCAAGATTACAGCATTAGCTCTTCTCCAGGGGTTTCCTCAATCACATATGGAAATTCCTGGTGGGAGGGAATATCTCTCTCTGTCTCTGTCTCTGTCTCTGTCTCTCTCTCTCTCTCTCTCTGTCTCTGTTTCTGTCTCTCTCTCTCTCTCTCTTTCTCTCCTCCTCCTCCTCCTTCTACTCATCTTTGAAGAGCCCAAACTAATAATATCTTCAGATGGTTCTGACCTCCACAATATTGATTGTGATGTTTGAATAGTGATTTTTATACCTTTTTATTCTATACTTATTAATTGGATTCTACGGTAAAGAAGAGATACTTTTTCCTTCCCCTTATGATCCGAACATTTATTTGTATTTGGACTCACATTCATTTACTCTATGGTTTAGAGTCTCTGATTTATTTCATTGCTCAGACCATCCCAGCTTTGGCTATAAGGAACTCCACTGTTTTGTTCCTCTCTTTCAACTTGCTTCCATTTTATTTTTTAGTACTTCTTTACTTTCTGGCATCACAAGAAATTCCATGCTCAACTTGTATTTTTCCCTGCCCCAGTGTCCAAACATCTATTTATCTGAAGAGTCCTTGTTTCTTTCACTGGAGAATGACATTTAGAAACTAAGATGCTGAGGTACCTTTCTCGGTGTACATACACAAATGGGCACTAACATTTTGGATACATACTGGTATCTGTATCAATGTACCTGAGAGAGAAAAAGAGACAGAAAGACAGACAGACAGACAGATAGAGACACAGAGAGACAGAAAAACAGAGAGAGAAAGAGAGAGACAGAGAGACAGAGATACACTGGAGGATTCTAAACAAGTAGGTGGCCAGGAAAGGTCCTCATGTGAAAAATAAAATCATTTTATAGAAGTGAGGAAAAGAGACTGGAGAAAAAGGTTCTTCTAATAGTCTGTGTACAGTAGTCTCACCTCATCTGAGATTTTGTTATCTGTGGTCAGTTACTGACAGTCAACCATAGTATAAAAGTACTAAATAGAAAATTTCAGAAGTAAAGAATTCATAAGCTTTAAATAACTTTCATTGCATTACATTGTCATGATTGTCCTATTATCTAAACCGAACATTCTAACTATGCACATGTTAATCTGTATTTATACTTTACAATTTATCATGAGTAAGTATGTATACAGAAGTTCAATATAGATAGGGTTTGAACTATTTACAGTTTCAGGCATACACCAGGGGTCTTGGAACATATCCTGTGCAGGGAAAGGGGGACTAAGATACATAGTGACCAACATGTCACAACATCTGGAGTAGACAAGGTGTACTTCTCTCTTGCTCTACCCTTTCAAAGCAACAATACAACAATAGTTCCAGATAGTGTTGCATCTATCAGGCCCTGCTTTAGAGGAGTCCCTGCTCCACAGACTAGAAAAATATTTGAAAAACTTCTTAGCAGAGTCAGGTTTAAGGCATTTTATTTAGTAGCTGGGAAGAATATGACTATTCAGCAGATAAGAAACACAGGCAAAAGAATGAGGCAGGGTGGTCAGACGGCTTGCAGGAAGAAGCTGGGGAAGGGACAAATACTGGAACATTTGGGGCAAATCAAAAACTGTGAAAAAAGACAGCACTAGGGGAGCGGGCATGGGCATGGGGCTGAAGCCCAGACTAAAGGCAGGTTTAACTGTGGATGAGAGAATGCAGCAGGAGGAGGATCGGTGAGCAGCCAGTGAGTAGCGGGACTCTAAACATGCACTGCAGAGGCTCACTAAGCTGCTGCAAGATAGGGGAGGGCACAGGACGAGGTGGTACAAGAGGCAGCAGCAGTGACAGGGCTGGAGAGGAAGACATGGATACGGGTACTAGGATAAAGCAGGAGCTGAGCGTGAAGAAAACGAAAGCTGATAAATCACCTGACCTTCTGGCATCCGAAGCAGACTTTTGGCGGGAAAGCAGTTGTTCAGGTAAGGCTTCCCATCATCCATCTTGTAGATGCTTGAAGCAGCCATCTCCCTGGAGCCAGCAAGAACAGTTGGGAGTCAGAAGAGCAAGGAAGTGTAGCACAGCACAGCGCCCACCCCAGCACAGCTCATAGCCCATCAGGGCCACTATTCCCTGCACATAGCCTGCCCCAGGGGTCCCAAGGCCCACCGGCCTGCTTCAGAAATGAGCTAGTCATTTAGATGAAGAGGGAAACAAAGCCCTGGTTTTTACAGTTCAAATAAATCCTACACAGTGGATTCATAGGAGGAAAAGTATTATGTCTGGGCCTTGACCTGGTTTGAACTGAAACTCTATCTTTCCTTGTGGTGTGACTGAGTTAAGTTATAATGTCTTCCCTAAACCTTGGTTTTCTCACTTGCAAAATGGGGGGTACAATCCCATGTTAACAGAGGAATGTGAAGATCAAGTGAGGAAGGAAGTGCTTAACATATATTAAGTGCTCAGTAGAAGTATTTTTAGTTTAAACAGATTTCAGAAAAAAAAGAAGGCCTTACATTTAGGGAAGATGTTGTGTAAATAAGAGGTCTGAACTGGATAGATAAGGATTTGAAGGAAGAATTGAGTTTACTGACAGGGAAGGATACACATTCCAAACAGAAAGGACACTAACATTAACAGCATGTGGTGAGCAGTAAAGAAACATCCTCCCAGGAGGGGATGGATATGTGTCTGAAATCTTAGTAAGGCTGGGCAGGAAGGATGGCACCTGCTCCGGGGCATTTGGTAACTGGTTAGGAGCTCAGGCTCCATCCTGTAGGTACCTGCGAGCCACGGACAATTTCTGGGCTACTAGAGCCATGACCCAAGCTGTGCTTGTGAAAGAAGAGGTCTATCAAACGTGTTAGAAGGATGTGATTGCCAACAGGTACTGCAGGTAGGGGGTACTAGCAAACCAGGGGTGACTCGGGGAGATTCTAAGTGAAAAACGGAAGAATGAAAGAATAAAAGGGAAGGGAGAAAGGAAAGGCAAAGTAAAAGAGGAACAACTAACCTGCTGTAAACACAAAGTATGAGCATTTAAGATATTAACAAAGGAGGAAGGAGGAGCAGCCTCTGGAGGATTCTGAAAGGAATTCGAGAGAAGGCAACCTAGGGGTGGAGGATGGGCAGAGGCTGTTAGGTAAAACCTAGGGAAGCGACACCTAAGGGAAGAGGGCCAGAGTAGCACAAAAGGCAGGTAAGGTGAGGATCAAAAACAGGCCATAGGGGGCTGGGGATTTAGCTCAGCGGCATAAGCGCCTGCCTTCAAACAGGCAGTCATGAGTTCGATCCTGGGTACCGATAAAAAAGGAAAAAAAACAGGCCATGAGGAAGTAGGAGGCCAGTTTCTGGGGAAGGGCAGTTAGAAAATCTCTTCAACTCTATGGGAAAGGGAAGGGAAGGTGAGGAAGTACAGAAAGTTGATGTGTGACTGTGAAGGGGAAGGAGAAACAAGTGAGAAGGAAGGCAAAGTCAAGAGACGGGCTAGAGGGCAAGACCAGGGCTGGGGGAAGGTGCACTCACCTTCCTCTTAGTCCCAGCCTTGGTGGAATCTATCACTCAGGAGATGAAGTGCGGAGCCATAGTGCGTGGGTTTGTGTGGCCTTGCACGTGTTGCTTAACTTTTCTATGCTTCAGTGTCTTCCCCTACGAAATGTGGACAGTTAAGTACCCCGAATCCATAGGGCTGTTAGAGTGATCAAGTAAGCAAGTGCTTGTGAAAGGATTCGGAACAGAGCTTATACTATTCTACAGCTACCTGGGTAGCTTATACGGATTCTTTTCAATTCTGACAATTATTAACAGGATGACAAAGGCTGGGCTCTACCTACAAACTGAAATGAAAGAGCTGGCAGGGCAGGAAAGGCTGAGAGTTCAGGAGAAAGATGGACTGAAAGAGTTGCTGGCCCAGACCGGACACTTTAACCAGGAAAAAGCTGCAGCCAAGTTAGGGGACTCCTGTCTCCCCCGCCCCCTATAGATTTAACTGTAACCCTATACCCCCATCCCTAGGAACCTGTGTGCCAATGAAATACCTGTGCATCTCTAATGGCCTTCGGGCACTGCCCTAAGCTTAGGCTATTTATATTCCCCCATGCTACGTGTCCGAGAGAGATCGCCAGATTCCAGCGGCCAGTGCGCCAGTCTCCTCTCCCTGTGTTCCCGGAATAACCACGGGCCCCGGGTGCAGTGAGATGCTGCGCCCCGGGGCCGGCAGGGGGGTCTCTCCCCGCATTCCCGAAATAAAGCCACCGCCGACCACTACTTTCACGGCCGTCCACTCCACTCCTTCCACGGACTTCTTCCTCGACCTCTTCCCCTCTTCCTCTCCCCTCTTCTCAGACCTAACATGGACAGATTGAGAGCCCTCACTGAGAGGACAGGAGAATGAGCATCTGAGTCTAGGTTAGAGGTACTTATGGTGGGGAGAACAGGGCAGGCTCTCATGGCTGGAGGGAGAAGAAATTCAAGTGTCCCTTCCTCTTAAAGAATAATAATACAAAAGGAACAATCTTTGACTTCCTATCTGTGGTGCATATGTGTGCATGCTCATACATGCACAAAAGTTGGGGAGATAACTGGTTTTAACTCTACAGCCTGAGTCAGGCTTTTTTTTCATCAAATTACTATTCTCTTTGGGAAGCCAGACACAACAATAATTCCTCAAAGGAGTGAATACTCATAATCAGAATTTTATTTAGCATCTGTCAGTCAATAATTCTGATGTTAAAGAATTGCTAAGAAAAAAAATACACAACTCTCTGACACAGTCTGATGTCAAACTTTGCAAGAAGCTACATTTTAGCCTTAAGTTGCAAATACAAATGGTTACAGGAGTTGAGCAGATCACCTGAGTGAGTGTGGAAAGCTGAACGTGAGAGAAAAGGGAGTAAAGGCATAGCATGTGTTCATGAATGAGTGTGCATGTGCCTATAGAGGAAGCTACTGCTCAGTCTTGCCAATCGCTGCCATGCAGAAATGTAAGTCAGTGTTGCTATATTCACCCATATTTTCCAGAGAAAAGAGAATAAAAATCCCCTGCCTCAGGGAATTAGAGTAAGAATTAAATAAAGTAATAGATAAAACTCATAAAAATAAAAACATATTCCTAGACACAGACAAGGTGCCACCTCTTCCACACACCTTCGCTGAATTTTCCTGATTCCCCTCCAGTACTGGGGACTGAACTGAAGGTCTTGCACACCTTAGGTAAGTATTCTACCATTTTAGTGCTACATTTATCGCCCTTTTTATCTTGAGGCAATGTCTTCCTAAATTATCCATACCGACTCAGACTAGCCATCCTCCTACCTCCACTTCCAGAGTGGCTGGGATTACAGCTTACACCATCACACCTGGCCTTCACTAAACATTCTAGTGGGAAATAATTGTGCTTCTATTAAGCTCTAGAATTATTTCTTCAGTTTCTCTTTCATACCCTCACTTCTTTCTATCTTACAAAATTACTAAAAATCATGCAAGTCTCTTTCAAGGGACTATGAATCTTGGAAGTTTGGAAATATGTCCAATTCATTGTCTCTCTTCCACTCTTGGAATTCAGCTGATAAGAACCAGTCAGAAGACATGTGTGTTCCATAAAAATTTTTAAAAAGATATGTGTGAGCCAAAAGAGGGCTATGATGCCGTTGATAGGGACCAAGAGTATAGGTATATCTAATATTTCTATTTAGACTCCAAGACCCCAGGGAAAGGATAGTAGCTATAGTATTCAACAATTTCTCCCTAATACAGCTCCTGGCATATAACAGATTTCATAAATATCTGCAGAATGAACACTGGTATCTCCTTTGACCCAATTCAGGGCACTATGAACTTTCTGAGCCCTAACCCCTCCTGCAAAGAATTGAGGTTCATGCATTCCTGTGACATCCCATACTTCTCCTAGTATAGTACTTCTCATTCTTTTATAATTGTTTCTCTGCTCACCAACTTCCCACTTGCAATGGGGCCTATGTTTACCGGCATAGTAAGTGTTATGGTTTGAAAACTGGTGGTCAACTTAATGCCAGCTAGATTACATAAGCATAAGCATTACATTGAGAGAAGATGCTCCACCTGAGGAGGGTTGCCAGGATAAATAGGTGGAGAAGAAGGGAGATGAGAGAGGGATTGAGGCATTAAGGAGGCATTGTGGGTTCTCCTACGAGTTGTTGTCCGAGCTGTTGGTTCTCCTGGAGAAGCTTTGGTCTTCACATCAAGCATTGCTTCCTGGCTCCAGAGGGGAAGACATGTGCTGCCTGGTCTCCAGGATGAACTCGTCACGCTGTTTCCTCGCCCGTACCCAACTGTGCTTGTCGTTGGAGGAGCTCGGGGCCTCCATGTCGCTGAGGACAACTGTGGTGCCTTTCAGGACAGCCCCGCTCTTTGTTGTGAGTGTGACTTCTCGGCTCCAGTGTAGAACCCTCATCCCACTAGCACAGCTACTTTATCCTGCTGGCACAGACTTTCTGGCTTCCACCGCTGACCCTTGGGTCTTTCCGGCACCAATCCGGAAAAGAGACTGGCGTGAGTCCTCGTGGGCTCTGGACTTCCAGTTGGACTCGTGGAGGCGTTGTCCTGAGCTCTGGGTTTTTATCTGGACTCATGTGGGACATTGCCGTGGGGTTTAGACTACTGACTAAATAATTTACATCTTTGGTGTTGCGGATAGATTTCCTGCATTTTCTTGTGTTAACTCCCGGTGACCATTATAAAAATATTATAAACTCCATGTCCTGATCTGAATTGTTCTCTGTTTACAACCCCTGACTACAACAGTAAGGATTATCGTTATAATACTTCTTAGTCTGCCACTTTTATAGCACCTAGCACAGAGCCTAGAAATCACTAGAAATATGCTGGGAAGATTAATGGGTAGGTAAAGAGTTGCAAACAGATTCATGTTCAGTCAGTTTGTCTTTCAAGAAATCTCTAGTGACAACCACACTTACTTGTTAAACAGCTGAATAAAGAAATGAGTGAGTATATGATTGGCTGGGAAATGTTAAGAGATGACTGTTGGAAAAGGATTCAGCAGTTCATAAAATAACAGAACCTGGTTTCTGATCGACAGAGTACGTACTTGATCTTTGACTCTGAAAATGGCCGCTTGACTTCCTTTTTCTTTTGTTTCTTGACCTGTTTCTTGACCTGCAAAATAGATATTATATTCCTTTTCAGGCTGCTATTCAGAGTTCTTGAATTTTCTGACAAATTGTATCCTACAGTTGTAGAGGATCATCTGGGTCCTTGAATAAAGAGCAATTACCTCCACTTTGACCAAACCTGGCCTTATCTTTATGTACCGATATGTACAGAGCTGGCTAAGCTATTTCCTTTTCCCTTCGGTTGGCTCTAAGCAATGTGAACAGGGCTAGCTGAAGCACAGATGCCTAATTTTTGAAGATAGACAGAGTGTTCCCGCCTTACCTCAGTGTTTCCCTAAATGGTTTAGCCCAGCAGGATGGCAGAGCCAGTACTCCAGGAATGTGGACTGGGTTAAGCCTCCAGTTCAGAAGCTCTGACTTCCCAGGGCTCAAAAGTTTGCGTATCGGAATTGAAGCACCACCACTTAAACATTAAATGCTACCTCAATTGTGTTATGTAGATCACATTTTCTGCATATCCTTCTCTCTAAATATTGCAGAGGTGCTTTCTGGTTTCCTAGCTAGCTCAGCTCACAGTACTCATAATTCCTGCCATTCTCCTACTCATTCATCCTCTAGCCAGTCCCTCTTTCATGAATTAATAAAATCCGGGTTAGGCCTTGGGTCGAGGCCTTTGCTCTGAGGAATCTTCATTCTGGCTATACTTATGACACCACGCCCACCGCCAACCGGCTCCCCATAAACTATATCTTAGTGTCTTTATTCTCACCATAGGTTGCACTGGAGGTGGGAAATTGGAATTAACTCACTAGAATTCCAATAACTTTTCCATGGAATTACAAATATAAACTTTCTGGATGGCAACAAGGATGGGAAAAGGGACTTCTGTGAGCTTTCTGCTCCAAAATTTGGAGGCCTCAGGAAAAAAATATTTCTAATGATGAAAGAAATAGCTCGATAGGAGAAATAGATATAGCTGGAAAGGGGTATAGAAGAACAGTTTCATGACAATGAAGTGTGCTTGCATTGTTAAAATAAGATATGAAATGCACAAATAAGAACAGAAGGGATTATTAATGGTTACTGAAATGAAATAAATTTCTGTAGGATAAAAGTCACAAAAGCAAAATTGAAGATAAGACTTGGGATGGGAAAAGATATTTGCTATGCATATAACATAAAACACAAGCCAAACTCGAGCATATAGAACTAGAAATAAATAATCATAGAAATTCCAATTCCTATGAAAAATATTAGGTGAGAAGGCATAGATCTCCATCGGAAGGCCAAGAAGGGACATAACTCCTGGGTTACATTTTTTAGAAGATAATCCCAAGAGAAATATGAAGTTTATGGTGTGGGGGGGGGGGAGTCCAAGTTCTAGACTTGATTGAGGCTGCCTTCCTGGTTAACTTGAGCAGCCTCTTAAAGGGCTAACATCAATATAATTAAAGCACCTCCTATTTCCAAAACACATATTCTTTCTCTCATGCACACATGAACACACATACACATACACAAACAGAGTCCCTCATTTACATCTATATACACTTGCTTATCTATTTTTCTGACATACTAAACTTCTGCACTTATTTTTTGCTCAGTTTGACTCTCCTCCTCTGTGTCACCATCTCAGACCCCCTTTTTACTGGAGGCACTCTATCACACTATTGTAATGGCCAGTTTCCCCTGACTGTTCTGTACCCGGCCAACCTCAGACTATGAATCCCTCCAAGACCAGGCCTTAGATCCTGCTTCTCTCTCTATTCTGAAGCACCTTATAAGGGACTGGCATAAGAAATTGTAATGAGTGTTAAACCAAGCCAAGAACAAAGTGCTCATGGAGAACATCACTATTGCTTGCGAAGAAGGAAGGAGCAAAGATCTGAAAGGTAGGGGCTGGGGATTTAGCTCAGCGGCATAAGTGCCTGCCTTGCAAGCAGGCAGTCGTGAGTTCAATCCCTGGTACCGATAAAAACGAAAAAGACAAAAAAAAAAAAAAAAAAAAGATCTGAAAGGTTTCACAGGGCAAGTGACAGAGCTGGGTTTTAAAACACGAAAGTTGCAAAGGTGAAACAGCAACATCAAGAAGCTACAGGGACTTCGACCAAAGCGGCAAGCAATTGCTTTACGGGAGTCAAAAAATCTAATTTTATATTCTTTAGTAGTCATATTTCCATGAAGTAAGCCTTGCCAAGAAAGATTTCTATCTGTTCGATTCAGAGGATGTGCTGAGTGATTAGAACAGGCTCACTACATAGTAAGCACTTCATTACATATTTATTTCATCATTTGAATATTTATGGGGTGTATATAGGGATTTTAAAAAAACCAATATAATGGAGCATATACTATTGCAACACTCTAGATCTCTAGAACAGTGGCACGGGTCTGTTGTAATCCACCTGTATACCTTAGTACAGTGTCAGGCAATGTTGACGCTCAATAAATATTTGCAGGGAAAATTGGATATATAGAATGCGATTACATCTTAAAACTGTAAAAGCAGAGTGCCAAAGGGAAATAAAATGGCCTTTGAAGCAAAAGAAAATAAAGGTTCTAATACACACTCTCTGGCACTGGATAACTAAGTTGCTCAGTTTCTTCGTCTTGTGCTGGAGTCAAGTGAAAGATGAATGTACAGCAAAATGCACATAGGGCACTGAGTGGCAAGCCAGTAGAGGAGCGCAGTACATTTGAGGTCTACACGAAATATGACTAACAACTAAGAAGACAATTGCTTGAAAAAATTGGGTAAGTGTCCTAACAGGGCTAGAAGAGGATGAATGATGTGCTTTTCCCCGCCTTTTTGCAGACTTCACATCTAGGACGGAGGAAACTCACGCAAACTAAGTTTCCACTCGCACCTGCCTCCGTCGTCGCTTCCGCTTCCGAGCAGTCTTCGGACGCGACTGGACTGTTGGGCAGGATGCACGCCTGCGAATCTCCGGGAGAACTCCTAGCCGCTCCACGATGGTGTTTGCCACTATAGTCCTCACCCACTCCTTAGTAACCAGGACGCCTTCACTGGCCCCCTAGGCGGCAACCGGCCGTCGGGACTTCTAACTACAAGTCCCAATAAGCCTCGCGTCACTTCCGCTAACAACCAGTCGTCAACGCGCCTGAGCCACGGATTCCGATAGGCATAGCACTCTGCGTCACGTCCGTGGCTTCAACCAATACACTTTGGACAAGTTGAAGGGGAGGGAGACACAGAAATTGGCAAGATGGCGGCGGCAGCGGCCCTGGGCGGGAGAAGCGGTGGTGGCGGAGGCAGTAGTGGGGCTGGTTGTGGCCCTAGTGGCGGGACAAGCGGCTGCCGAAGTGGCTTGTTGGATAAGGTGAGGACCCCAGTTCCTGGAGACAGTCGTGTCCTGGAGATGCCAGGCACGCGGCGAACCCATCTTGCCATCCCCGCCCCCTTTATTTTCTGGCGCGTCTTGAGGGAAACCCTGGGTACCTTACATGTGTGCACTTGTAGCCCACTTAAACCTTTCCTGTAGATGTTTCCTTCTTAGAAGTGTTCTTGCGCCTTGATGCTAGCTACCATAGCTTCTTCGCATAATTTAATTACTGTCAGGTTTCAGCGTGATCAGTACTTTCCTCTTGTGGTACGGGGGTCACTATTGAAAGTGCCCATTTCACAAACAGAGAAGCTTGAAACCCAAATAATTAATTCACGCGCAGTCAGTATCCCCCAGACTCTTCACCTTAGTCACTGTCGCGTGCCGCCACAGATTCCAAAGTGCTTCTCGTCTTTTCGCTCATTGAAGTTTCTCGATCTTTTAATCAGCCATACATAATGAAAATATTTAAGTGTTGACTTACCCTGGTAGAGAAAAAAGCCTTAAGATTCTTCTTTTTCCCTCTTGTGTTCTTTGCCCTCTACCCTTTTTATTTCCCTTTGTTTGCCACCAAGTACTCTGGTCCCACTTGCCCCTTTCTCACTCTGCTCATCAGTTTTTTGAAAACTGTAGTCCTAGCAAGAAGGACGGGGTAGGGGGCGACTCTATTTCTAAGTTGGCATTTCTTGTCCTTTGCACAGCATCTTGGAAGACATAGTTGTATGGAAAGTGGAGTGCCAGTGTTTGTTCTCTAGCTCTGTGACCTTGAAGTGTGCATCCTTTCCCTTTGTTTTCTCACCGACTCTGAGGTATTAAATCTAAAGTTATGTAACATCCTTTCTAGTTCTCTCACTGTAGGGCCTTGAACTAAATTTGATAAGTACCAAGTATGGTGTTTTTGACATAATACACAGGATGTTTTAGTTTAAAGCTTTCAGACTTCCCTGTGCTTCATACATGGTTGGTGCTTAAGAAAGCAGTATATGATCGTACTGAGGGGTTCAGATCCAGACCTTTTTACTTATCCTTTTGAAAGTCATTGGTTTTGAATTGTATGGTAATTCTTGCACTTCTTACCCTTCGTAAGAGACAGGAACGTGCTGTGGAGCTTGAGATAGTAAAATGCTTCAAGAAGTGAGAGCATTGGGAATTGAGAGGTATTTTGTAGACAAACCTTTTTTTGCGGGGTAAGGATATCACAGCCCATACTTGTTGCTTACTACTGGCAGTTCTTCCTCAACATAGATCATCAAACATTAAGCATGACCTTGTTCTAAAATATAGATTACAAAATGCAGTGTCCCTTAGTGTCAGTGGGGTTCACTTCCAAAATCGCTCCCTGTGGATTTTGGTAACCAAAGAAGCTCAAGGCCCTTATATAAATTAATGTAATATTTCTATATAATATTTGCACATTTTGTAGTATACTTGAAGTCATCTGTACATTATTTTTAATAGTATGTAAATGCTCTATGAATACATGTTGTGCAGTATTCTTGTGACAGCTAAGGTTAATTGTCAACTTGATTGGCTTGGGATCCTCTGAGAGAATTAATAAAGCATACTTACTTATAGATGTATCTAGCTAGGTCATCGAGATGTGACCTTGGGGTCTATTTCTGGTCCCTGGCCTTTTTCTCTCTGGCCCCATTCCCTCTTTTTTTCTGGCTGCCATGACCTGAGCAGCTTTGCTCCACCATGTTCTTCTCCAGGGATGTTTCTGCCTTGGATCGAGTCTGCTAAGGACTGAATCCCCTAAAACAGTGAGCCAGATGAACTCATGTCCTTTTAAGATGGCAGGTAGTTTATCCCAGCAATGGGAAAGGTGACTAATACAATTCGTAGGGAATAGTGACAGAGAAAAATAAGTCTTTACCTGTTTAGGACAGATGCAGTTTTTTTGTGAGTATGTATTTCAGTCTATGATTGGTTGATCTGCAGATGTGCAGTCTTTGGATACAGAAAAGTAACTGTTATATATGACATCATAGTGTTACTAGAAGAACTTGGATTTGAGGATTGTAAGACTTTGACTTTGAATTAGCTCTGCTTCTTGCAAACAATTTGAAGACTGGAAAGTCAGTTAAGTTCATTGAGTTTACCTTTTTTTTGGGAGAATTAAGTAAGATAATATACATTAATAATCTTTGTACCCAGTAGTATTCAACACAAATGTATGGTGGTTGGGGAACTACATAAGAAATCTAGTTACCATAGTACTGAGAATAGCTACAGTTAGGAGATGGGATATTGAGAATATTAAGTATATTTAAGGAAGCATATAGTATATTCAAATGCATGCTTTTTACCGGAAAGAGAAAGAGAAGTTCTTGAGATCTAATTGATAAGGGTTAGGCCCCCAGGGAAGGACTCATATCTGAGAATAGAAATTAGACCTTATTTTTGAAGAAATAGGAAAAGTATATTAGTAAGAAAGTCTCCTTGAGCAAAGGTGCACAGAATGTAGTAGTGCCTGAGGTTTCTCAGGTAGTGAGTTAACTGAAAGGTTCTTTAAAGAACTACAGTGACGGCTTGAAGAGGTCTCAGATTGCTCAAAGTAGGAATAGAAAACTGTTGAAGGTCTTTGAGGTGGTATAATGTGATTATAGTAAAACTGTTCAGGTAACTTGAAGAGGTAGAAATTAGAAACTTTCAAATAAAGCTGTATGCCATACTAGTATATAGAATTTCATAAGAAAAGTAAGTTTGAATTCTAGTGGAGCAAGTTAAAAGCCACATGGCCTCGGATAACTTACAGCAGTACTGAGCTTACTGCATTTCCTTAACACGGTCAGAAATGTGGACCCTCATGTGTCTTGTAGTCTTATAGCAAAGGTTAAATTGTGTGATATTGAAAACATTCTTTGTAAAAGACTATATTAAAAATGGAATGACAAAGAGGGGCAAAAGAGAAAACATAATTGAGCTGTTCAAGTGTTTTTTCTTGGAAAAGTCTTATTTTTGTCTTCCATTGAACTATTCATTTTCTGAATTTCTGTGGAACTTACTTCACTTAGACAGTCACTTAACATGACACACTGTTTTATATTGCTTCACCCACTTGCGTCTATCTCCCATGAAGGTTCCTTTGTAGTGATCACACAGGAAGTACAGCATTAAAGTTAGCAGAGAAAATGCCACGTCAGCTTTCAGAAACAGTGGTAGAGGATGGTGCCTCTAAGTGTGAAAACTGAAGTCCTGTGAGAGAGAACACGGGAAAACTGTTTTAAGTGGAGTAGGAACTGGATGAACAGAGAGACTTCTGTTGGAATGAAGGGGTATTACCTCTGATACAATCGCTTTGATACATCTTGATTTTTTATGGAAGGACTTGAATTTTATTTCTCCAGATGTAGTTTTGTTATAAAGAAATAAGAGATGTAAATGTGTTTCTAGCTTAAAACAGAAGTGGATTTCTGCTCCTCTGAAACTGACTTTAAGAACACAGCAGTTCTTTCCTGATTTTAAAAATAAGTATGCAAATCTAATCTTCATTACAAATGGCTTAATTCAGTGCACTTATTTTGCTCAAAATTTATTGACGTATTCTCCTTGCTTCTTTTTTTTAAGCTATTAAAATAGATAGGTAATACTCAACTATGCTTTTCTGAAATTGTATCCTGTTTCTTTTTACCCTCATACCCACATCCTGTCTCTTGTCTGGACTGTCAGCCCATTCTTAAAGCACAGCTTTTATATTTATAAAGCATATCTTTTATTACATATGTGATTTAAGAGTACAAGCTGTGGAGCCAGGCTTGCTATCTACCTTTGAATTCTGGTTCTGCCACCTGCCAGTTGAGCATTCTTGGACGAAGTACCTACCTCTCTAGAAAAAGAACTCACCTCACATCTTTATTATTTTTACTTTAAAGAGAAAAAATAACAAAATTTCAAAACACAATAATTAGAGGATAGCACGGGATATAGCTCAGTGGCACAAGTGCCTGTCTGGCAAGCATGAGATCATGAGTTTGATCCCCAGTACCAAAAAAAGAAAAAAAAAAGAAAAGATAATTAGAAGGTAGCAGTGATTAACACATTGCATATTATTATCTTTAAATTATCTCAGAGTACAAGATATCTGCATTTGATTGTCCAAACAATATTAGCACAACCTTTTTGATGATGTACAAGAAATTAGTAGTATAACTATTTTAACTATTATATAATTACATATGTATATAATTTCAGCTTCTCACACTAGGGAGACAACACAGTGTTTATGTAGTCTAGTCTGATTTTACTTATAAATATGGTCTCTAGTTGCAGCCATTTACCTATAAATGTCTCAAGTTTCTCCATTATGGCTAATACTCCATTGCATAAAATACCACATCTTTTTTATCCAGTATTTGGTTGATGGACATTTAGGTTGTTTCCAAGATCTAGCTGTTATAAATTGTGCTGCTATAAACATGGGAGCACATTTATTGCTGTGGTACAGTGCTTTTTAATTATTAAGGGAAGATAGCCAGAAAGGGGATAGCTGAGTGAAATAGGATCTCCAGTGCTAATTTCTTGAGGAATCTTCACACTGATTTCCGAAGTGGTTGCACCAGTCTACACTCCCACCAACAGTGGAAAACAAAAAAATGGATGATATCTTTTTCATTAGAGTATGTCGAGCAAAACACAATTATTGAGTATGACACAGCACAATTGTTTTTCATTGTCCTGTTTTAATAACAGTGTAGCAGAATCTATGCTGTGATATCAGAGATCTCAGTGGATTGCTTCACAAAGTCCTCAGTTCATCCTGGAGACAAAGGGTGAAAGTGGTGTCAATGGAAGGACCTACTACTCTAATTTAGAAAGCAAACAAGAAAATTAAACTTTCTTTCTCTTCTTTGGTCTGTCCCAGTTAACAAAGTAGATGTAAACTGCAAGAAGAGAAAGCGCTAGGAAATGAAGTATTATTTACAAAGCTGAGAACTTTATTCTTAGACAGACAAGGAAGATTTTAAGCAGGTGAAAATAGCAATCAAATTTGTGTT